ATGAAGGGTCTAGGCCCGAAACGTCAGCCTTTCTGCTCTTATGATGCTGCTTGGTCTGCTGTGTTCATCCAGCTCTGCACCTTGTTGTCTCGGATTCTCCAGCATCTGCAGTTCCTACTATCTCTATATTTATAGTTGTTCCTTTTATTATTGTCGCACGATGATGCGATAGCGTTTAAGTAAACATGTCTCACAATGAAGGTGATCCCTTTATCTATATTGTAGCATATTAGAATCTGTCAGTACCTGTTTCTCATCTTCGGACATTGAAAGGCCAAGCACGGTGGATATCATGTAATCTATCAGGCTCTGGTCCAGTCCATCTTGCCGTGGTATTGGAATACGTTCACTTGGAGGAATTAGACTTTCTTCTGTTGCAATTACCTGTGCATAACAAGAGATCAGTGATGATCTGAAGTGTTTGAAAGTCATGCCTTTCTACAGTCTTCTATATTAGTTGAAACAAACTATCACAGAAACAAATCTAGTTGTTATTCTAATAATAATGATGATGTGTCTTACACTATCAAATGGAACAACAGCACAGAGACAATCTACTGTATTTCAAGGCAACAATATTTGACGTCTTGGTATCCTGATGCTCACAATTCAAAACCTGATTGAGCAATGATTGTGAAGCCTCTGGACCTGTGAATGGGGATATGACAGTGGTTCAAATGAGCTGCAGAAATTAATCCTAAATATTATGGCATTTCATAGACTTATGCATCACTCAGTATCAGTTCCTTGGATTTGCAAATGTGACACAGCAGATTTCCCCTTTTTTATTGTAGGAGGTATGCAATTTTATGATTTCAATGAAATGTTCCTTCTCACTGCTAAAAGTAGGTATGGGTCTGCAGATTTTTAAATAACGCCATCAATGGGATGTGAACATCGCTGGCACGATCAGCATTTATTCTCCATTCCAAACTGTCCTTGAGAAGGAGATAATGAGCTACCATCTTGAATTACTTCAGTATCTGTATCTTTATCTCAATCTGTATATTTAGCCATAATGCTTCTGTTGGGATGAATCTTGATTAACTGGGCCAGTTGACTAAGGCATGACAAATGGCATTTAATTCAGATAAATGTGAGATGTTGCATTTTGATAAGACAAACCAGGGCAGGACTTGCCTAGTTAATGGTACGGGCCTGCTGTGTGCTGTTGAACATAGAGACCTAGAGGTGCAGGTACATAGTTCCCTAAAAAGTAGCATCATAGATAGTCAGGTTGGTGTACAAGATGTTTGGTATGCTTACCTTCGTAGATCAGAGCACTGAGTACAGTAGTTGGGACATCATGTTATGGCTGTACAAGACATTGGTAAGGCCACATTTGGAATACTGTGTACAATTCTGGTTGCCCTATTATAGGAAGCATGTTATTAAACTGGAAAGGGTGCAAAAAAATATTTACAAGGATATTACCAAGACTGAAAAGTTTGAGTTATAACGAGAGGCTGGAGAGGCTGAGTATTGGAGGCTGAAGCATGACCATGTAGAAGTTAATAAAATCATGAGGGGCATAGATAAGGTGAATAGCCAAGGTCTTTTTCCCAGGGCAGGGGCAGTCCAAAACTATAAGGCGTAGGTTTGATGTGAGAGAGAAAAGATTTAAAGGGAACTGAGAAGCAACTTTTTCACGCAGAGAGTGGTGCATATATATAATGAGCTGCCAGAGTAAGTGGTAGGGGCGAGTACAATTACAACATTTAAAAGACATTTGGACAGGTACATGAATAGAAATGGATATGGGTAAGGTGCAGGCAAATGGGACTAGTCCAATTGAGGAAACCTGGTCAGCATGGATGAGTTGGGCCAAAGGGCCTGTTTCCATGCTGTATGACTATGACTTTAAAGGAAACTACTTCCTTCTAGACTGTTGCTAAAATCCTGTCAGCACTGCTCTGCAAATTACAGTAAAAAACAGAATTGCAAATTTTGTTCTGCTTCTAAAAGAAAAAGAGGCATATTGGCAATCTTGACTCTTTAATTGCCGAAGGAATTTAAATAGGGAAAGACAGCAGAAAGCTGCGTATGAGAGGACTTGGGGATACTTGTGCACAAAACACAGAAAGCTAGCACATGGGCACGGTAGATAATCAGGAAGGCAAATGGACTGTTGGCCTTTATTTCAAGGGGATTCGGATATAACTCTAAAAAAGCCTTACTACAGCTGTACTAGTTGCCGGTGAGACAATATCTGAAATACAGTGAGCAGTTTTTGTCCCCTTATTTAGGGAAAGATAAAATCTCATTGGAGGCAGTTCAAAGAATGTAGGATGATCCCCAGTATGGAGGGACTGTTTTATGAGCTTAGATTAAAAAGATTGGGACTCTACTCATTGGAGTTAAGAAGAATGAGTGGTGAACTCATTAAAACCTATAGAATTCTTAAGGGGCTTGACAGAATATATGCTGAGAGGATGTTTCTTCCCATGGGAGAGTCTAGGACCAGAGGCCATAGTCTTGGAATTAACCGCCCAATTTAAGACTGAAATGAGGAGGAAGTTCTCCTCTGAGGCTAGAGTGTGTTTAGAACTCTTTGCCACAGAGAGCTGTGGGAATAGTGTTCTTGTGTGTATTTAAGGCTGAATAGATAAATTCTTGATCAGAAGGGGAAGCAAGGGTTATGGGGAAAGGGCAGGGAAGTGGACGTAATGAGTGCTGGATCAGCCATAATTGTACTGATTCACAGAGGAGCGGGAAGAAGGGTCCCGACCCGAAACGTCAACTTTCCCGCTCCTATGATGCTGCCTGGCCTGGTGTGTTCCTCCAGCTCCACATTTAGTTATTCCTTTCTGTAGTCTGTTCCTTTACAATCAAGTGTAAATGAAATTGTGAATTACTATTGTATTTAGTTACTGCAATTATGTTTTCGCGAATAAACAAATTTTACTTCATGATAAAGCTTCCAAAGCCCAGGTACTAAATGAAGACATTGATGAAACAAACTAAACGAAGAATTATATCGTGTAAAATGAGAAATGATAAGCTATCTATACATGATAGACGAACACTTACAAACCTGCTCCAGTATACAGTATAATATTAAAGGCACAGATAGGCATTCCAGTGGCAAGAGACTCATCAGATCATTATAATATCGCATATCTGTCAGTGCAGTAGAAGTACCTATTTAAAAAAAAACAGTTTGACCTTTTCTTATCGGCATGTAACACAGTGGGCATATTGGTCAATAGAAAATAATTATTTAAAAAACAATCACAACCAATAGTCAGTTCATTCTACAGAAGCAAAGTATCACTGAGAAAAGAGATGTTGTTGAAGCTATTCATTTGGAACTCATCTGAGCAGACAGAAGAATGCCACGTCTCAAAGGGACTCACAATTTATGCTACATGAAAAGAGACTGCTGACGGGTTAGCAAGTCAACTCTAATTGGACACGACATTTGCCATGGAGAATATGCCAAGGTTCTACTGCTCTCCTGTTATGTTTGCTTAATTCAACATAGTTGCAATATCTGAGCAAAAATCACTTTGCCTACAAAGGACAGATGTGTATATGTATCCTCCAGCAAGCATTGCGGGCCCAACTGATAATCTTAAATTGGTGTGCTGTAGGACCAAAATAGCTAGTTCCCATATAGAATATAAAAAAGAACAGAATACATGGAAAACAATCTTTTAGCAAAATACCTGAAGCCCAAGCAAGGAGATCATGTTGTGTTGGTTAAAAATAAACATCCACAAATCAGAGTCAGTTTTTTAAAAACTTATGTGCATGCATCAGAGTTCAAAGTCACTAGCTTGAGAAAACATCAGTTAGTGGCCATTCTGCATAAGCATGCTAAAAAACTATAACTTGCATCTGAACGTAAAAACTAGGAGCAGGAGTAGGAAGTTCAGCCCCTTGAGCCTGCTCCTCCATTGGATACGAACATGGCTGATATTATCTCAGCCTCAACTCCACGTTCCTGCCCCAATTACCCTTCAACCACTACTATTTGCAAATATGTATATCTCCTCCTTAAATTTGCTTATGTCCGAACATTCACCACAGTCTGGGGTAGTGAGTTCCACAGATTCACAAGTCTTTAAGAGAGGTAATTTCTCCTCCTATCTGTTTGAAATGATACCTCTTATTCTAAAATTATGACTTCTTGTTCTAGATTGCTCCAAAGAAGAAACATCTTTAGCATCTTATATATCTTAACTAGATTGCCTCTCAAACTCCAGAGAGAATAGGCCTAACCTGCTCAATCTCTCTTCACAGACAAACTCCTCACTTCTGGAATCAATCTGGTGAATCTCCTCTGAACTGCCTCCAATGCAACTTCATCCCTCAAATAAAAGGACCAAACTATACTCAATACTCCAGGGTAGTCTCAATAATGTCTTGCACAGTTGCAACTACACTTCCTCACTTTTATACTCTGTTCCATTCAATAAATGCTAAAATTCCATTTGCTTTCCTGTATACTAGTTTTCCGTGATTCATGCATGTAGACACCCAGATCACTCTGCCGTGAGCCACTCTGAAATTTTAATCCATTTAGATAATAAGTTGCCTTTCTATTCTTCCGAACGAAATGGATAACTTCAGGCCTATCTACATGAAACTCCATCTGCCAAATTTTGGCTCATTCACCTAACCTATCCATATTCACTTGTAAATTTCTTATTTCTTTACTGCAACTTATTTTCCCACCTATTTTAGTGTCAACTACAAACTTGGCTAGAATACCTTCCATCCGTGCATCTAAGTCATTAATATAGATTGCAAATAGTTGAGGCCCAAGGACCAATCCCAGTGGCACCCCCCATTTAGGTTCAATTGCCAACTAGAAAAAGAGCCATTTATCCCAACTCTCTACATTCTACTGGTTAGCAAATTTTGTATCCAAGCTAATAAACTGTCCTCAATCTCATGTGATCAAATTTGCATTGCCATTTTGGTATTTGGACTCGCAAAAACAAAAATTCATCAATAACCTCAATAATCATCACTGCTCCATTAAACTTAAGGCCACAATGCACAAAAAAACTATTTTCTTAAACACCACATATTTGAGACGGCATAAGACAAATGGCATAAGTTAGCAATAAAGTAATTTTTAAAAGAACTGACACACATTAATACACAAAAATCTATCAACCTAAACAGGATTTCTGTGTACTGATGAGGTTAGACCTAAATGGTTGCATGTTTGCCTGTAACACATTCACTGCATTTCAAGTAATTCACAGTATGTGAGATGTCTTAAATGTAAAACACAAATGCATGCCATAATGTAAAACACTGTTCAGCATTAAATTATTGACACAATGCTCATGACATTAGCATCCACCAAATTTTCCTCCATATAGTAGATCCTGAATTTCTGTAGCCTTAAGCTAGACACCCCACATTCACTTGCAAGGCATTCATTACCTTAGTAACTTCGTGTTTTCTTGGTCAGTTGCAAAGCTGAAATGTGCTCTCTCCCCTTTGCCACCCTCTTTCGAAGCTCCTCACTCCTGACTGCCAGCCTAATTTTCACCCCCTCTCTCTCCAGGCCAATTGACCACACCAGCCTCACTCCCCACCCACTTCCTGCCATCTTCCCGTAACAGTACTATGATTATCTGATTATATAAAACTGCAAATTCAAATACTGTTTAAACATATAAACGTTTTGGAAAACTCAAATCTATACATATGAAGAAACTTGAAGGTAGCCCATTATCATATCTCTTGTAATATCACATCTTTTTATTGGTCACTGGCTCTACCATATGTAAGTTACCACTACTCTCGTGTGGTTCACTCAAATTAATTTTCCACCCAACTACTGCATCAATCCACAACTGGAGGATTTGGATGCAAAATAGATTAACTTGGGGAGTTCACTTCCAGAATTGCCAATGCAGTCAATTCTGGGTTGATAATGATAGTTTACAAAACCTGAAGTACTAGTCAAATGAGAGATAGTAGGAACTGCAGATGCTGGAAAATCTGAGATAGCGAGGTGTAGAGCTGGATGAACACAGCAGGCCAAGCAGCACCATAGGAGCAGGAAGGCTGACGTTTCGGGCCTAGACCCTGATGAAGGGTCTAGGCCTGAAACATCAGCCTTCCTGCTCCTATGATGCTGCTTGGCTTGCTGTGTTCAACCACCCTATTAGTCAAATGAGTCCAGTTATAGAGTTTAATGAATGAGGTACCTTTTTCTGAAGAAAATGTTAATTCTGCCGTGGCAGACTTCTTCCTGTCAAATGAGGATGAAACGGCATGTGTCTGTAGGAAAAGCAGACAAAAGTAATTTAAACCCAGTATTAATTAAATCTCAATTTCACATACTTTGCAGAATCATAGAATCATATAGTACAAAAGAGGCCCACAGCCTATCAAGTCTGCACCAACAAATAGTACTTTAAATCTACATAACTTCCAAATTCCAGCACTTGGCCCAAAGCTTTGAATGTTATGATGTTACAAGTGCTCCTCCAAGTAAATTTTAAAGGTTACCCACCTCAACTACCCTCCCAGGCAGTACATTCCAGATTCTCACTACCCTCTGGGTGAAAAGATTTTCCCCAAATCCGCTCTAAACCTCCTATATTTCACCTTAAAATTATGCCCCTTGTTACTGACCCTGCAACTAAGGGAAAGAGCTGCTTTCTATTCACCCTGTTCTTGCTCCTCATAATTTTATACACTTTAATCAGAATCCCCCCTCAGCATTCTCCTATCTAAAGAAAACAACCAGAGCTTATCCAGCCTCTCTTCTTGGCTGAAATGCTCTTTTCAATCAACATCCTGGTGAATCTATTCTGCACTGTCTCAGCGTAAACACATCCTTCCTATGGTGCAGTGACCAGAACTGCATACCATACTCCAACTGTGGCCTAACCAAAGGCCTGCACAGCTCAAACATAACCTCCCTGCTTTGTAATCTACGCTACAACTGATAAAAGCAAGTGTTCCATATGCCTTCTTAACTACGCCATCAACCTGTCCAGCCACCTTCAAGAATTTGTTGACGAGCACCTGAAGATCCCTCTGTTCCTCTGATCTTTATAGTGCCCTGCCTTGTAATACTCCCTTGTCTTGTTTCTTTTTCCAAGTGCATCATCTCACAGTTAACAGTGTTAAATTCCATCTGCCATTGATCTCCCCATGTGACCAACCCTCCTGTAACCTAAGACCTTCCTTCTCACTATTAGCCACCAGGCCAATTTTTGTCATCTGCAAATTTACTTATCATTCAAACTGCTCCTCACCCCCACCATTTTCTTCTATATCATTTGCACACAGAACCATGAACAATAAGGGACCCAGCACAGATCCCAGTAGTATACCACAGGACAGCAGCTTCCAGCGACACAAACAGCCTTCTATCCCTCTGTTAGTCAATTTTGGATCCAACTTGCCAAGTTACCCTGGATCCCATGTGCTTTTACATTCTTTGTGAGTCTCCAATGTGGGACCTTGGCAAAGGCTATGCTGAAATCCGTATAAATTACATCAACTGTACTACCATCATCTACACACCTGGTTACCTTTTCAAAAATTCAATCAAATTTGTCAGGCATGACTTCCCTCTGACAAAGCCATGCTGGCTATCCCTGATCAAACTTTGCCTGTCCAAGTGGAGATTAATTTTCTCCTTCAGAATTTTGTCCAATTGTTTTCCTACCACAGATGTGAGAATCACTGGTCTGTAATTCCCTGGTTTATCACTACCACCTGAAATAACTTCACAGCACCTGGTATCTCATCACCATGTCACCTGTTATTTACACATGATAAGTCCTTGATATTGATCCAGCTTCCTCAAAGCCAGCTCTCAGAATGAACAGAACTTCTGACACTCCTGTCATCTGTCAGCAAGGCTTCCCTGGTTGGACCAGGCTAACAGCCCCAATCAGGGAACTCATTTCTATGAGGTCCATCTGGCTGACCTCGTTACAATCACTACATGCCACCCCCTCTGATTCTGAGGATAGGCCGGTTCTTTTGTTTTTGCAGCTCCATCTGGGCGTTTTAGCACTGGATCAGCTTCCTCAAACTCTGACTGTGACATGGGTGGTGTGTAACACACAGAAGCTCAACTCTTGTGCCTACAGCATTTTGTAAGGAATTCATTCTCTTCCCCAAGTGGCAAAGGTGTCGAGCTGGCAACATCTGCCATGTCCATCTCAGCTAACAAAAGTAATTCACACCATACTTTGTCATTAACAAAAATAACTTTTTTTTATAAAACACCTAAATTTAGCAAGAGCAATGAAAAGTTAGGATTTCTAATATACTACTTTGCAACTTAAACTATAACACTTTAAAACCTCCAAATACACAAATAATCACAATTAAGACAGACAAAAGATAAAGAGTTTAACACATATGCTATGAATGGGAAAAAAATAATATATACAACGTAACAACATTCAGAACATATAAAGTCCAAACCACAAGATGGAAAGTTATTTTCTCTTAGTCCTTTTGAATTTTGCAATGATGATACACTCAAAGTCTGTAGGCTGGCAGCCATTCTTTAATTTAATGATTGATCAGGTGAATCTTGGTTTTCCTTGTTTTATAATTCTTAAATTTTCTTGGCTTTTCTGTCTTTTTCCCGATGTGGGGATAGGGGGGAAGTGAGAAGGAGAAATGGACACTTTCTATGTATAGGCTCTGGATGTTTCTCTGCTGCCCTCACACTTTCGGATTTTGAACACGTTGTTTCTCAATCAATCAGTGAGCTCTTGCCAGGCAGAATGTCCTTAGAAGGAACTCGGCACCGCGCAGTCTCGGATTTTCCCTAATACTGCTTCAAAATGCAACGTTGTGTCCCGCAGCTCAACAATATGCAGCTCTTGAGTTTTGGGTTGTAAAGCTTTCCTTAGTTTTCCAGATATGGCAGTCCAACTTCCATTTCCGTTCATAAGTGCAAAAGTGAAAAACGTGTGGTCCCTTACACTCTCAGTATGAATATCCTCGGGGTTACCACTGTCCAGAATATGAACTGTGCCAGCTTTATAAATACTGAGGCTGCAACAGCCAGTTGAGAGACTGGGAATTCTAAAGTGACTAAGTCATCTCCTGACAATTAGGCAAGTGATATAATACACTATGCTTGCCTGAATGAGCGTGACTGCAACAAAACTCAAGAAGCTTGATACAATCCAGTACAAAGCAGTCCACTCAATCAGAACAACATCCAGTAACTTGAACATTCACTCCTCCAGAGCAATGCAATGGGTAACAGTGTGCACCATACATGAAATGTACAGCAGCAACTCAACAATGCACCTTAAAGAGCAGCTTCCAAAGCCACAATCTCCATCGTCTGAAAGGACAACAGCAGCATATACATGGAAACACCATCTACAAGTTCTCTAACAGGCCAGATACCTATTAAATCTTGGAACCGTATAGTTGTTCTTTCACACTTGCTGGATCAAAATACTGGAACTACCTTCTTAGCAGCATTGTAGGTGTCTTTATCCAGACAGATTGCAGAGGTTCAAGAAGGTGACACAACACAACTAGCAGTTCCAGTGAGACCCACATCCCATGTAAAAATTTTCAAAAATTGATAATTCAGTTCCAATTGCATAAACTCTGTTCAGGCACAGCAACTGTGATGTGCAAACTCCATGCTGAGACAGGCAGAATGCAAAGTTTGTGCTCTCTCCTTCTCTAAGTGATTTCAAGATGTACCCAAACACAAAATACCACCCTGACTACATGCATGTTCAACAGATGACCCAGCAATGTGCAGCACACAACCAGCCTAGACTTCTTAAAAGCAGTCAGTTTCTTTTAAACAGGAGATGCACTCAATAAATATTAGTGAGGTCTGGCTTTGGGTGCCCTGTCTTTCACACTTATAGGGATGTATCTACTCCATCCCTGATATTTTCAGACTGGAGGCCTCTATTACCTACAGCAATATTTTAATGGCTTGTTTATCTGGTTCAGAGATATCAAGGTCCAGAAGAAAAACTCAATGCATTGTTGGAACAAAGTAAACTCAAATAGGAACAGGAGGAGACCATTCAACACAGTGAGCTATTTAATTCAATTGTGGCTGATCGAACACTTCAATACACTTTACCCATACTGTATCCATAATCTTTTATTCCACTGATAATCAGAAACCTATCAACCTCTACTTTAAATAAACTTAAAGATTGAGCTTCCACTGCCCTCTGGGGTACAGAATTCCAAAAGTTCACAGCCCTTGGAGGAAAAAAAATTCTTCTCATCTCTCTCCTAAATGGAATCCCTCATAATTTTAAATCGTGCCCCAACCAGAGAAACATCTTACCTGTACCTACCATATCTATCCCTTTAAATACTCTGTAAATTTCAAAGGATCACCTCTCAATCTTTGAAATTTTACAGAATACAGGCCTAGTGTACCCTCCCGTCTTCATTGGGCAGTCTCACATCCCAAGAACAACTATGATGAACCTTTATTGCACTCCCTCTATGACAATAATATCCTTCCAAATGTAAGAAGACAAAAATTGCACACTATTCCTGGTGTCTAACCAAGATATATAATTGAAGAAAGACTTCACTACTTCTGTACTCAAATCCTATCACAATAAAGGCTAACATCCATTAACCTTCCTAATAGCTTGTTGCACTGACAGAGATTTATTGACAAAGACACCTTTTTCCAACCTTCTCCAATAAGAAATACTCCATCGTAGAATCCATACTGTGTGGGAGCAGGCCATTTGGCCCATTGAGTCCATACTGACTCTCCGAAGACCATCCCACCTAGACAGTTGTCCGAGGCAGGAACTAAACCCAGATCCTGTGGGGCAGCAATGCTAACCACTGAGACAACGTGCCACCTCTACACATCTGTTTCTCCTAGAATCTCACACTATAATCCAACTGCCATGTCCTTGTTCACCCACGAAGCCTGTCCAAATCCTTCTGAAGCTGCTTTACATCTTCCTCACAATACATTCCTGCTTAGTTTTGTACAATCTGCAAATATGGAAATATTACATTTGATCCCCATGTCTAAATTATTGATATGCGTTATGACCTGCTGGGGTCTCCTTGCCTAAGGAAGGATATATTTGTGGTGAAGCAAGTACAGCAGAAGTTCACCAGTCTGATTTCTGGGATGGTGGTACTGTCCTATGAGATGATTTTGAGAAAGCAGAGTCTGTATTCTCTGGAGTTTAGAAAAATGAGAGGCAATCTCATAGGCAGAAGTGAGGCAGTTGGTGAAAAATTGCAAAAATGGAAAAATGAGATTATTAACATTGAGAGATAAAAGTGATAGGTGGCAACGTGACGGAGATCAAACCAATGGGGTTGACAGTGAGGGCAATGTCGGAGGAATACGAAGATTAAGGGGCTGAGCTTGCCACTCACTCTGTGAAATGCTGCCTGTTTTCCCAGCGTCACCAACAAATCTTCCTGCTGCGGCTATGTCAGCTTGCACATTTTGACAAAGTTATTAATAGCCAATACCATGTGGTCCTCTCCTGTCTGGAGTTAAGCAAATGCCTAGACTTTGACCATTCTCTGAGTACCAGTGATCTAAGGCATTTCTTCCTCAACCAGCTGCACAGACATGCCAGTGATGTACTCACCAGAATGTGCTCCCAACTCTAATCTAGCTAACATAGTTACCAAGATGTCAATATTTGAGCTGGAAGTGAGTACAGGAGACAGCCATCATGGCGCTTTGCCTGAGGAAACTGTGACTTCTTCCTCAGTGGTGATAAAGGAGATGTTGGCTGGAGAGGCTGTGCTTTTGAGGGCAGAGATTGTGCGGATATCACTGGTCCCTCCAGAAGACGAGTGAGGGAATGAATAGCAAAATAGGTGCACCTTTGTTGTCTGGACATGGAGGCAAGTACGTCCCAACTTCAGCACTTCAGCTGCTGGTGAGCACAAATGCAACACCATAGAGGTGTTATACATACATGATGAAGGGAACAGCAGAGAATTACATGAGATATCCTGTTAAAGCTCATGGAGAGAAACAATCCACAAAACTCCACAAAACTGACACTTAATCGATTTTCAGTAAAATTCAACTTACAAAATTCTTGAAGGTATAGATGAAGTAGATAGGGAAAGGATGGGACAAGGATGTTTCAGCTGGGGTTTAGAACCAGGGCGTACAGTCTCAGGATAAAAAGCAAATCATTTAGTGCTAGGAAAATAAGGGACTTCTTCATTCAGATTGTTGTGAATGTTTGGAATTCTCTACCCCAGAGAGCTGTGGAAGCCCAGTTATTTAGTAAGTTCAAGAGAGAAATTGAAATAATGACTTAAAAGGATATTGGGATAGTGCAGAATTATGGCATTGAAGTAGATGACAGCTCTGACATAGAATTGCGGAGCAGGCATGAAAGGCCGAATAGCCTACTCCTGCTCCTATACTCTAAAAGGCCTTATATTTTATTTTATTATAACATATAATTAAAATATATCTTCTGTACACAATGCTTGACTAAATTATAAATTGTTTATGAACATAATAGCAATTTTCAGACAGTGCACACATAAAATGTTCCCCTGTAACAATTTATTATGTGAAAATTAGACTATATTCTAAACTTACTTCATGTAATCGAGACAGTTACTGCTAATCTAGGAACATCATGGTAGTAGATTCTATTATTGATATGCTACATTACCTCGTCACCCTTTGAAGCTTCTGGCACTGTAATCAGCTTAGTATTTTGCAGATAATTCTGATGCTGTCGTTTCCAGTCTTCACAATCGTAAATTATGGAGGCAATATCTTCAAATATCAATGCACCAAACTCCAGCTGACAACAAAAAAATGTCCCAAAACATATCCAGAAAATGCAGTAATGCATGAATATGAAATATCACTTCACAACTTTAATAGTTTAGAAAATGAAATTCACACTATAACAGGTAATATTTTGCAAGGTTAATCTGAAGCTTTCTTGACCAGTCCTCTATCCTCCACCCTTATAACCTCCAAAATATCTAAAATGCCCTCAAATTGTGAAAATTCACCAAAGTACTTAACAGACCAGAAAATGAAATGTACACTGAACAGGTTGTGGATGAGATTGTAGACTTGCTCGCCGAGCTGGTGTGTTTGATTACAGAGAAATGAACAAGTTGGTTGGTTGGATGGAGTTAGGTGATAGGCTGCAAAAACAGTCAAATAGATGCTGATGTATTTTTTAAAGTAGAGAGACAAGTCAAGACAGAAGATGCTGGAATTTTACAGCAGGACGAGCAGCATCTGCAAAGAGAGAACAAGCCCTTGAAGAGAAAGTAATTTCTGTGCTACAGAGAAGGGACAAGGGGTTTAGGAAATTTTACCAACCCTTTCATAAGGTTCCAGAAGGCTGGAAAATGGTATATAAATTGGAAAATGGAAGTTGGTCACGCATGCTCTATGTCTTCCCACAGCCACAGCATTTTGTAATCAGTGGGATCTTGGTAAGTTGGCTACCCACCAGGACTCCAAATCACCCACTTATGGGCCAATTAAAAGCAATTCTCTGGCTTTGCAGGCATTTTGATGCAGTGAGGGAAGGGGTCCAATGTCATGTTGGATGACTACCCATCAGGCAGCATCCCAACAGGTTCCAGGAAGAGGTGACCCTCCATTTTGGACAGCTTATGGTACATCTATGCCCTACAGGCACTTAATTGTATCAGGTGTTCCCTTCAAGAGTGATGTGTGGTTCATGCTGGGACTCAAGTATTTGGAACAAAATGCAACCTTCTTTTTCTTTCTCCACAGATGCTGCCAGAATTGCTAGGTTTTTGCAACATATTTGGTTTTTATTTCAGATTTTTCAGCAAAGATTGTTTTGCTCTTAAGGAGGGAATTTATGACACAACCATTGATCTTTTACAGACAATTTTAGATAGAATCATAGAATGATGACATCACAGAAGGTAGCTATTCAGCCGAAATGTTCATGCTGGCTCAAGAGCAACTTTCCCAATCCTAACCCCCTTGTCCTTTCTCTGTAACAGAGTAATTACTTTCTCTTCTAGGGCTTATCCAATTCCTTTCAAAGCCATAATTGGAAATGGACTCAACTATCCCCACAAGCAATGCACTCCAGACCCAACCACTTGCTCAAGTGACTGTTTATTTTGACTTGGATTATTGCATTTCCTTCCAAACTTATTCCCATGGTGATCCATTTCAACGGCCCTCAATGAGCAGTAGAGGGAGGAGGAGAAGAGCAATGCGAGCAGAGAAAGGAAGGTTGGCCATTGATGCCTTGGAGCTCAGATCCCCAAAATATCAACTTATGAATCCACTTTGGGAGGCCTTATCGTATCTAAAAGCTTTACCACCATCAAGTTTACACTAATTGGTTTCTGACTGCTTGGTTTATCCTCCTATACTCCTTCGAATAAGGGTGTAATATTTGCTCCAGTTCTTTGTTACAACTCTATCTAAGGAGAACAGGGTTAATGGTGCCTCTGTAATTTCCAGTTTACTTTCCTTTGTATCCTTGGATGCATCCAATATTATCCTGGTAACCTATTACCGTTAAGTACATTTTGCTAAGGCTGCACAGCATATTTTTCTTGAAACTGGACATGGTTACTGAAGACAGGTAGAAGATGTCAAGATATTCCCTCATTATCAGTGGTATCAGCAATAGCATAGGTGCAAGGCATACCTATACTCATGTTAAACGTATTATTCCAGTAGTTGACCTACTTCAAAAATTGCTGACATTGAGAGCTACAAAACAATGAAGGGGTCATATCTACTCTCTAGATAATGGCCACTCATATATAATATTTTTATTGTGAGAAACCAGAAATGATCCTGGAAATTCCCTGAAAAGTTGGGCAAATCTGGTTTTTGAGAGATTAAGTATGGCACAGGGGCTAAAAGCAGGAGATAATTCATAAGGTTTCCTTGTACAATTACGCTTACATGCACAAGCAGAACACCAAATCCTATAGGTAGGAAGTCCTACAGCTCATCAAGACCCCTGAGCTCCCTTTTACAACTCCCATTGTTAAAAAGGCACCCAGATAGCAATTCAGTTTTTGCAAGGCAGAAGTATCATTCAATTTGTTTTGGTCGCCCACACCCATCCCTGAGGTGCAAGAGAACAGACAGAATATGGCTCTATGCTTCAGCAACACCTCCCTACAGGTTCTCCTGCAGGTCATCTGGGAGACAAGTGAAGCACTACTTCCATGGGATGGCATCAGGAAGCCTTGATTATTTAAGGTATTGTCCTGAAGAATGAACCAGAAAATGGCTGTCACCTATTTTGTTGAATACAGACAGATGCAGAACATGTACATGCTCTTTTTTCTCTGCAAGAGCAGGACCTTGTGCATTAATACGTACAGTTTCATGTGGGAGCAGGTGCGCCATACTGCAAAGCCAAATGACAATATTGCGGTTGGTTGCATCTTAATTCTTAGCACACATAAGAATATTTAGTAAATGTTATCCAAGCTATTAACTAGCGGGATGGCTTTGATCCACTCTATTTGAGCAGAAAGTTTGCACAGTAAGCAAATGACTTGGGTCCCATTTACGAAATTGCCAATAAAATCATTCTTATTCCACGTAGAACTGTAGGAATCCCAATGCGTACACTGACTCGTAGAAGTAGACTTGCAGTAGACAGTAGTAGAGAATCTCCTAGCATATTTCTCAACTAACACTTAAGGCTAGGGAACTCATTTTACTGCTTCATTTTAAAGGTGAATGTGAGTGCAAGATTATGGCTCCCTTGATTAGATCGTTTCTCAGTGTATGTCGAACAAACTCAGTAATAGCCCAAGGTCGCCACTTCCAGTCTTGAAAAGTGCCCACTCTACCACAGATTACCCTGAAATGGTAACATCCTACTTGAAGCTAGCTTTTTCACACTGTTACTATGCTTTAGTAATTTGGGCAGTGTTCACCTCTATAGGTCTGCTGCTATCAAGCCAGAAGGATGTTCTGCCAATTACACAAATGAGTAAAGTGATTTATGAATTTCTATACCTACGTGATACCAGACAAATAGACAGTATGTCGCAAAGACCGGTGGATCATATCAAGTAGCACATCATCTTGACTGTTCGCAGTGGAAAAGCTACTCACTGCACCTAACCTGTCCATACTTGCAAAACCTAAAACACAGTATCCAGTATTAGATGTGTACATCATTTGTTAAATAATCCATGGTGTGCTAAGAATTATGTGGATAATTAAGTTAAGATCATCAGTTGGGCACATTGTTGTGTGGCACATTTGCACATTCTGTAAGCTACGTCTATTAATTCCCTCTCTTAATGGCATTGTGGGTCTACATACAGCGCATGGACAGCAGTGGTTCAGAAGGCAGTTTACCCCCATCATCTCAAGGGGTAAATGCTGGCCAACCAGCCATTTTCATGTCCCACGAGTAAAAAAACTCTCTCTTCGCTCTTCCTCCCCTCATTCTCTTTCCTCCCCTCATGAAACCCTGTTTCAATATCGTGCTTCTTCTCTGCACATGTGCAGTGAAGTCTTTGTGTATGAAATAGTTGAAATTATACGTGATGACGCAGCAGGTCTAGAACTGAGTGCATGTGCAGTTGTTCACCGTTCCAGGTATCAGCAGACACGGACTTTAAGATTTAATACAGAGAACTGTGGGGTAACATATTTTGGCAGAAGGGTTAGGGAACAGCTATATGGACTTAATGGCACAATTCTAAAGTGCGTACAGGAGCACAGGCATCTTGAGCTGCATGTATATCAATCTTTGAAGGTGGTAAGACATACTGAAATTGTAGTCGGCAAATCATACAAGATCTTGAGCTTCACAGTCATAGAGTCATAGAGATGTACAGCATGGAAACAGACGCTTCGGTCCAACTGATCCATGCCAACCAGATATCCTAAATAAATCTAGTCCCATTTGCCAACATTTGGCCCATATCTCTCTAAACCCTTCTTATTCATATACCCATCCAGATGCCTTTTAAATGTTGTAATCGTACCAGCCTCCACCACATCCTCTGGCAGCTCCTTCCATACATGCACCGCACTCTGTGTGAAAAAGTTGCCCCTTAGGTCCCTTTTAAATCTTTCCCCTCTCACCTTAAACCTATGCCCTCTATTTTTGGACACCCCCATCCTGGAGAAAAGACCTTGTATATTTACCCTATACATGCCCCTCATGTTTTTATAAACCTCTATAAGGTCACCCCTCAGCCTCCGATGCTCCAGGGAAAACAGCCCCAGCCTATTCAACCTCTCCCTATAGCTCAAACCCTCCAACCTTGGCAACATCCTTGTGAATCTTTTCTGAACCCTTTCAAGTTTCACAACGAGAAAGGAATTCAATGTAAAAACAGGAATGTTAAGCTGAACTTTTAAAAAACTTTGATTCGGCCCTTAGCAGAACATTGCTTTGAGTTCTGATCATCTCACTTTAGGAAAGACGCAAAGGTCCTTGACAGGGTGCCAAATAGTTTTACAAGAATGGTAGCAGAGATGGGATTTTATTAGTCACAAGGTTACATTGGAAAGGGTTGGATTGTTCTGTTTAAAGTAAAGGACATTGAGCAGAGACGTAGAGGATTATGACAAGCTTAGATAACAATTAATGAACAGAAATTTAACACTTTGGTCAAGAAATGCAGGGGGACTGTGAGGAAGAATCATTCGATGTAGCAAGTCTTAGAACATATTGCCCATAAGGATGGTAGAAGCAGAAACATTCAATTATTCCAAAAGGAAATTAGATGAGCACTTGAAGGAAATAAATTTGCAGGGCTATGTGAATTGTGCAGGGTAATAGGATTGACCAAATTTTTCCATGGGGAGCCAGCATGACCTTGATAGGCCAAATGTCCCCCTTCTGTGGTGTAAATTACTCTATAACAGTCTGATTCTGATAAATGTAAGCCTAACATTTTGGGATGGCACTGACCTTCATGTCATAATTGTCCCAATCTTGTGGTAATATGGCTTCTTTCACTGTATACTGGAGTCTGGCTATATCAAACAGTTTGGATCCAGGTTTTCCACTATTCAGAACAGGCTCAAGGTACTTCCAAAAATTCTCCAGGCCCTTGTCAGTTTCCTCCTTTTGTTGATTATCGTCTTCAACAGCTGTAGCTAGCAACAAATTGAAAGCTATTTGGAGGTGTCCTTTAACACAATATTTTTTCACTGGTATAGCTGACTTCCCAATCTATCATTTCCATGTTGTTTACAAAGAAGTAAATCAAAGTTGAATATAAACAGAACAAGCTTTTATAAACTCATGGATTATGGACTGTAGAGAGAAAACTTCAGAATCCAGAAGTCCATATTCAATAGTATTTTTAAATCAGAGGTATATGCTGCTCTTTTTTGAGTGCCTTTTATGGTAAAGAGATAGTTGACTAGTTCAGTGAGAGAAGTAGAGAAATTGGTGAATCTTAGGGAGAAAATCTAAAACTTTACAAACACTAAAATATAATGCATGCTAAACCAGCCTGGATACGATACAAAGTTTGCACACCTGATCAAATGGTTAACCATCAACAGATAAAATTGAAAAACTAGTGACCTGAAGTCAGGTCATATTAGTGGCAATGGGTGTCAGATCCTGTAAGTTCAGTTCAGGTGGGGTGAATGTCATTTCTGGAGACTGGAAGAGAGTGGTTACATGTATTAGGGAAAGAGTTGGTGTGGCTGGGGTAAACTGGTGAGTCAAAGTTGAGTTTAATGGTTGTCCAGGATTTACAGCAAGTTTCTGATCCTCTAATATTCCCTGGGTAACTACTAAACTAAATGGAGTCAGAACCCAAAGGTCTGACTTTAAAGGACCTTTTCAGAGTTCAGGTGCAGGGGCATTACCTATTGCAAGTTTAAGTTTCCCTGCCAATTCCCATGGAGTCAGATGCATCAAGGATTCTGCATAGTCCTGACATGCTGCTCCTTCGACCATCTGACCATTGAAATATCTGCAACATGAAAATCTCAAAACACTATCTTATATTTCTTTTCCTGCTTAATTCCATGAGGACTGAACAATAATAGCTTATTATCAATCCTATGAGTAACTGTTCTTAATAATCAGACTGGTGTCAACTACAACCCCACTTATGCAGGAGTAGTTAACTGACCTTCAGGTGTCTCAGAAGGCTCCTTTTCAGATTCAGTAACATCCTGTTTCAGGAAACTTTCGTTCTTTTCGTAACTGATCATTATTACAGCAGAGATATCAATTCTTAGTTTTCCCAACATGAGTAGAAACTGAAGGTTTTGGAAACCTTGGATTATGATGTAGTGTTGAGGACCATCGTCAGGTTCATCGTCTGTGATTAAATAAAAAGGTTAATGACACAACAGGTCCAATTTTAATATATTTAAAACCCACTCACAGACACAGAGGATTAAAGTAGGGTCTAGTACCTCTTACTCTCTTAAGTTCTATAGTTTTCTGTATTTTATGTAGCATTTCTCAGCCTAGGTTGTAAACTTATGATCACCCTCAAAGCTGGTTTATGATCAGGCAACAAAAGATGTACACTCAACTGGTGTACAGTGGACATATTCTGACTGATTTTATGGAATGCACAGGATCTTTCTCATGCTACACATACTGTCCAAGAAATACCTGTGTTCCATGGCCAGGCTTTGCACTTATCTAATCGGCAAAGCTGCAGAGTTGGGGCAGAATTTTCCATTATTTGATGTGATGTGGGTAATGGTGAGAAATTTGGGAAAAATGTAAAAATTCAGAATCTAGACATTGAAAAGAAGTGGATGTAAGACCATTTGGTAACAACGCAGGAGCAGGATGGGTGGTAAGGTGTCCCCAGCGAGTGAGTCAGAAGGACAGAAAGTGTTAGCAGTTTGGGAGAATTTGGTGGGTAAGAGAAGTTGAGTTGGGCATGTTGCCTGCCATAGTGAGAGTTGTAGTCCATGAGCCTCATGCAGAGGCAGTATTAGACTGAGTGGCCGCTCTTTGAATATGAGAAAGCAGAGATAAGATGGTGGCGCTTTGCTTTACAGAGTACAGGCAATCACTGACTCGCTTCCTGACTACTGTGTGTTCCTTTTGAGCAAGGATACAGTACTGAGCCAGGCCAGTGTCTGAGTGGGCCTGGGGACATGGCCTCTTTTGGCAGTCTGCAGAAAATAGTATTGGCCACCTCTGCATAATCCCATTCTCCAAGTCCCTGTTTGCAAACAGGAAGTGAACTTTGCTTTTTAAGCCAGGTCCTCAGTCAATGGTGAAGCACCACTCTGTGAGGGGCACTTTCTGGCATTCAGCACGTGAAGTTGTGTACAGCTAGGATTTAAATATAGTGCTGGGTGTGTGAACATCAAAAGGTCCTGACTGTAGCAATCATTTTTGCCTCTCTGGTCATATGATTCCATGAAAAGGACGCCAAAAAGCATGGTTGCATATTTAATGAGGTGAAGTGGAAGGTTGCATGAGCAAAGTCTCTGCAAGCCAATGTTCCCAATAAGCTGCATGGTCATGCACGCTGACTGGTTTGCCGAAACCATTCTAAACAGTGACTTCCAGTTTTGGAGACCTCAGGAGTCCATGCAGATGTAAAAAATATTGGAGGGAATGAAGCTGCAAGCTATCGCAGATCAGGTGCCTTGAATCTCATGCGACAAAACACTTCAACTGAAATGGGAAAATTCACACCTCATGTTCTGGTCTTTTAAATGTATGTTGGATTTCTAAAATTACTTGGATTGAAGACCAGAGTAGGCCAAAGTCCCAGAAAGCAAATATATGCAAGGCAATCCATCTCATCTCTATGTCAATAAAAGACTGTGATGATTCCATATTTAAACCAAGCTCCACACACCCCCAGAAATGTAAAGGGTGGGGATCAATGTTTCCTCTAAGCTGCATGGCCAGAAAGCCACTGAGAAGATCCACACATATGCTGACTGGCAGCCGATGAAAATCTTCCACCTCTGGAAGCTGCTGCCTTAAGAGTCCGTACAGCAGTAAAAACAATTATAGGGAACATTGGTGGAGAGACATGTTAAGTGATGTCTAGGACTGAGACTTTATCTGTGTAGCTGGACAATTGGGCATTTTCTAGAGGCAAACTTCAGGAAAACTGACCCCTTTCAGATTTTTAGAAGTCTAGTTCCTGAAATGCCACAAAAGTTGAAGAATTTCCCTCTCAAGAGAGACTCTCCAGTGGAATGAAGAGAAAGTGCTGAAATGTGAAAGTCTTTATCCTTTCAATAAGACTGAAACTGAAGCTGCATTAATGCAGCACTCAGGTGACTCCCATGGCTCTACTGTATAAAAGAACAGTGGACTCCTTTTATGTGTCTTGGCCAATACTTCTCCCTCCAACAATACCAACACACCTATTAATCTATCATTTATGGATTGCTGTTTCTGGGAGCTTGATTTGCACAAATTGTTGCTGCATTACTTACCTACATTTCAACAGCAACTGCACTTAAAAAATACTTAATTGTTTTGTCCTAAGGTTGTGACAGGAGCTAAATAAATGAAGGTTTTTCATTTATTTTTGTACACCTGCTGTAAGGAGGTCTATTTGGCAGTTTGTTAATTTTGTAATCAAAGCAAATTACACAAATGCTGTAACAAATCAACAATGATATCCACTTCAAATGATATTGACTTACCCTGAACCTCATTAACAGGCTACAGGGATTACATGCAACAAATGTAAGGTAGCTCATTTTAGCAGGAGAAATAAGGAGTATAAATATTGCTTCAAAGGCATGTAATTAAATGGCATACAGAAACAAAAGGCATCTTAAAATATTGGAACACAATTTATGAAAAATGTCAACACAAGCTAGAAGGCCATTTGGAGTACAAAATGTACTCCAAAGGAAAGCAGGATGATGACTATATGATGTTGACTAGCCCACACTTGGAGCACTGTGAACATGACTCATAAAAGGATACTGAAGCAATAGAGAAAGGTCAGTTAAGATTTAAAAGGATGTTGCTAGAATTAAGAGGATGCAAGTATTACTAAAATTTGGAAAATGCTAAGAGAAATATTATCAAAGGACTATAAAATTTGAAGAGGATTTATTAGGCTGCATGTGGAGAAAATATTCAGACTTGTTAATTGAGTTCAGAACAAGGGGACACACACACATACACACATAAGATAACCAACAGATCAAATTAAAACAATTAGAATGAATTTCTTCACAGAGAGTAGTGAGAATGTAGAACTTGCTATTATATGGAAGGGTGGAACCAGATAGCATTATTGCATTTAAAAGGAAGCTTAATGCAAGCAAGAAGAAAGATGGAAATAGAAAATGGTGGGAGAGGTAATTAGGAAAAAGTACAAACACCAACATTGACCATTGGACTGAAAAGCCTCGGTAATTCCATTGTCAAATACCACATCATTTTACACTCTAAGAATATTCTTGATCTGAAACTTTAAACTGACAGCTTTATTATTGAAGTAATTATGCCCATGATCTAAGATATCAACTGTAAATTACTTTTATATAAGTCGGTCTATGTTCCCTTACCTGGCAAGCTATTTACAAGAAAAGTCAAATAATAAGTGCTTTTCCACTACGTTCCAAACAATTATATTTTTATATACCTATAAATAGAAACATTTTTGGTGCTCTGAAGTATGTTCATATCTTCCTCCATCACACAGTACTACAAATTAAAAAGTGATGAGTTAAGTAGATATCCCACGCTCAGACCCAAACCCTAACTCTATCGTTCAAAGCAACACAAGGATCAAGGGAGAGTAAAGACAAAAACAGAAACCCATGCTCTGAACCTGAAAAATATTGTACTTGTACTTCATAAATAATTTTACTTCCTGTCTATGTAGAGATACGACTCTCCAGTATGCAGAAAGTTATGAATCAAGACTTACTTATGCATCTGTCTATAACTTCCACTTCACCTCGCTTTAACAGCTTGGTATTCCTTCTGCTAACTGGTGGTTCTGGAGATTTTCTTTCTGCTTTGCCTTTTCCTTTGCCTGGTGGTTTTTTGTCTGCTTTTTTCTTGTTGGCACTTGCTGCTATTACTTCCTCGTCCACTGAGGCCTGTGGCAAGTGATGCAATAAATGAAGAGTTAAAATATTCAACTCTAATATTCTAGGCAGCACCTTATTATGAAGGCCTGAGATGTCCCTGGTTTACATGATATTTCTGTTAGAATGATTATTTTTGAATTGATAAAAACAGGCTACAAACTTACAAGATAATTTTACATAAATTTAGGAAGACTGTGGTGTATTAAACCCTCACTCAATCTCAGTCTTGCAAGCACCAGAAATTGGCACCATTGAATCCATGTTAAGGATGGATATTCATGTGGTGAACCACCAGATTGTAGGTCAGAGGAACAGAATTCCATAGCAGTCAGTTCATCAGTAGGTAAGATCAATACTAACTCAGAAAAAGAAGATCCAGATGCCAACTGAGTACCCAGAAGACTTATGAGCATACACTAGGAACTGCTAGATGCACTGGGAAGGCAATCAAGTGAAATGCACAAGGGGCAGTAGTTTTACTGGACTGATCCATGGGGAGTGGCCAGTCAGAAAGTCTTGGTTAATATGTAATTTGTGCATTGTCCACATGTTGCAAAGTTTTGATCAACAGGATTCTTCTCAATTCTTAAACAAATAATTTTAATTTGATCCCTTATCACAATTTCCCAACTAGAATAAATTGTCTTACCCCATTTTCCATTAAAACCTTTAATAATTTTTTAAAATCTATTAAATCCCCGCGATCTATTGGATTTTAAGACAGAAAAAGAAACACGCTACTTAACCTACTTTGGTATCATTTCCTTTTTTTTGAAGGTCTTTCTGTTTGATGCACAGGATCTGGAACTTCACAATTTCACAGAGCAGTAGCAATGAAAGCTCCTCCCCTTTAGCAAGCGTTTCCCACGCTACTTCTGTGACCTAGAATAGCCAAAAACACAGAGCTGGAACTCCAATGCGCAAAATTTATAAGTTACAACTGGTGTAGCTCATTTACAGTTTAGAAATATGACTGATATTCAGAAGAAAGCTGTGCAGAGGTGCTATGCAGTGAAGTAATTTTTCGAGGGTGCAGACATCACATTGCATTGTCAAGTTGAAGTATTGATGTTACTCATGTTGACTCACTAAATGCTGGAGATTTGGATTACCTCAAGTTCATGGAGGATGAAAAATGGGATACTGGCTGGAAGTATGTTGGAATAGTCATAGCTAAAAGTAACAATTGCATGGGTGAAAGTTTCAGTAGCATATTTTAATTAAGTAAAATATTGCCCAAAGAAGGTGATATTGGGACAGGTAAGCAAAAGTTTGGAAAGAGAGGTAGGTATTAAGTAGGGATTTAGAGGAAAAATATATGGAGAGGCAAAGATATTTACATATTACGTAGAACTTACAACTATGAAACAGACCATTTGGTCAAAGTGATCTATAAGCATATCCTCATATGCCTCACTTCTTCTCTTCACTTGCTTATCTATCTTCTCCTTAAATGCATCTATGTCATTCACTTCAACAACATCCTTCATTATTATAACATTGAAGGGACTGTCATTGTTTAGGGCCTTACAGACATACAAGGAACAAGAGCAGGCCACTTGGCCCTACGGGCCTACTCAGCCATTCAATAAAGTCATGGCTGATTTGATTTTAATGTTAACTCTACATTCTTGCATACCCGAATAATCTTTCATCCTTTTTGTATTCAATAATCTATCTTCCTCTGCCCAAAATATTGAAAGATTCTGAATCCACTGCGTTTTGAGGAAGGGAGCTCCAAAGACTCTTAAACCTCAGAGATGAAATGTTTCTTCATCTCTATCTTAAATGGTTGTCTCTTAGTTTTAAATAATGAACCCTGGTTCTAGATTCTTCCACAAGAAGAAACATCCTTTCCACATCCACCCAGTCAATTCCTCTCAACATCTTGCATGTTTCAGTTAAGTCATGCCTAAATCTTCTAAACTGCAGAGGGTACAGGCCTAGTCTGTCTCGCCTCTCCTCACAAGGAAGTTCACTTCTATCTTTGTCATCGGCAAATTTAGCTACAATACCTACGCTCCCTTTATCCAAATCATTTATATAAATTATAATGAGTTGAGGTTCAGCACTGACCCATGTAGCACACTACTCAGGACATCCTGCAGGCTGAAAAAAATCTAGTTATCCTACTCTCTACTTCCTGTTAGCTAAACAATCTTCCATGTAAGCCAACAGCACGAGCTTCTATCTTCCACAACAACCTTTGATACAGTGCCTTATCAAAAGCCTTCTGGAAATCAAAGTTCAATACATCCACTGGCTTCCCTCTGTCCACAGCACAAGTTAATTTTTCAAAGAACTCCAATAAATTAATTAAACATAATTTCTCTTTGACAAAACTCCTGCCAAATTGCCTTCAACATATCCAAGTGCTTTATTATAATATCTTTAACAACAGCTTCAAACATTTTTCCTAAGACAGGTGTTAAGATAACTGGCGTGTAGTTTCTTGCTTTCTGCCTTCCTCCCTTTTTGAATAAAGGAGTTACATTAGAATCATAGAATCCCCAGAGTGTGGAAAGAGGCCATTCAGCCCATTGAATCTGCACTGACCGTCCGAAGAACATCCCATCCAGACCCAACTTCCCCAACCTATCACTAAAACTCTGCATGTTACCATGGCTAATCCACCTGGCCTGCACATACCTTGATACTACAGACAATTTAGCATGGCCAATCCACCTAACCTGCACAACTTTGGACTGTGGGAGGAAACTGGAGCACCCAGATGGAACCCACATAGACAAAGGGAGAATGTGCAAACTCCACAAAGACAGTGACCCGAATCAAATCTAGGTCCCTGGCCCTGTGAGGCAGCTGTGCTAGCCACTGAACCACTATGCTTTCCAATTAGCTACTTTCCAAACTAAAGGAATCTTCCATGATTCTAATGAATTTTAGATATTAAAGCCAACACATCAATTGTCTCACTAGCTAATTCTTTTAAAACTATAGGAAGACATCCATCAGGACCTGGGAATTTGTCAACTTTCAGCTCTAACAATTTACTCAGTACTACTTCCCTAGTAATTGTAATTTTCTTGAGTCCTCTCTCCAATTCAATTCTTGACTTACAGCTATTTCCAGAATGGTACTTGTATCCAATCTAATGAAGACTGATAGAAAATATCTGTTCAATCTGCCTGTCATCTCTATATGCTTAATTACTAATTCCCCAGTCTCTTTTTTTACAGGACACCACTTACTTTGTTAACTGTTTTCTTTTTTAAATATCGGAAGAAACTTTTCCTATTTTTTATTATGTTTTAGATTAAGTTTCTCTCACACACTCCTTTTTCCCTACTTATTAATTTTTTGTAATTCTTTGCCATTTTTAATATTCTGTCCAATCTTCTGACCTGCCTGCTCGCTTTGCCCAATTACATGTCTTGGCTTTGATACTATTTTTGACCTGTTTTTAATTAACCGTGTATGGAGGGTCCACGCTTTAGAATTTTTCTTACTCATAGTCATACAGCACAGAAAAGGTGCTTCAGCCCATCAGGTCCATGCCAACCTATCCACACTAGTCCCATTTTCCTTTAAGTGGCCCTTAGCTTTGAATGTTGCAATATTTCAAGTGCTCATCCATGTATTTTTTAAAGTTTGTGAGGTTATCCTCTAAGGCAGTACATTTCAGAATCCCACCAGTCTCTGTGAAAATATTTTTTCCTCAAATCCACTCTAAACCTCCTGCCTTTCACCTTAAAATTATATCCAATGTTATTGACCTTTCGTCTAAGGGAACAGCTGCTTCTGAGCCACCTTATCCATGCCCCTCATAATCTTATTCATCTCAATCAGGTCCCCCCTGCTCTAAAGAAAACAATTTGAGCCTATCCAGCTTCTCTTCATAGCTGAAATGTTCCACCCAAGGCAACACCCTGGTGAATTTCTGCTGCACCCTCTCCCCAACAAACACATCCTTCCTATAGTGTGATGACCAGAACTGCAAAATATGCTCCAGCCGTGACCTAACCAAAGTTTTGTACAGCTCCAACAGAGCCACCCTGCTCTCTAATCTCTGCTATGACAGATAAAGGCAAGTGTCCCATATGGGAACGGCCAGGTAAAACCTGACTCGGTTGCATGTCTACTATGCCGGCCCTTTCATGGGCTCAATGTTCTTGGTCATTGTGGATGTCCATTCAAAGTGGTTGGATGTGCATAAAGTTCATTTGTCAAACTCAGGGATGATGCCTGAGAAGCTGCAAGCATTGTTCGCGAAACATGGACTCCTGAAGTATTGGTCACAGACAATGGGACATCATTTAGCAGCAGGGAATTTGAGTATATCCTAAAGCCGAATGGTATTTGGCACATAAGAACAACCCCATAACATCTATTATCCAATAGTCTGGTAGAAACAGCAGTCCAAATATTGAAGAGGGGCTTAAAGAAGCAGCCTACAGCATCACTCAATACCAAACTGTCCCAATTCCTGTTCAATTATAGGACCACCCCTTACACAACAACAGGGATAGCGCCAGCAGAGCTGCTGATGGGGAGAAGACTATGCACCAGGATAAGCCTCATTTTCCCCAGGGAGTGTGAAATGGCAGGAGGAACACCAATGCCAGCCACATTCCTCCTCTAAACAAGAGACAATTTAACTCAAGGGACAAAGTTTAGTGCCGGAACCACAGAAATGGCTCTGTATGGGTACAAGGCGAGGTCAGGTCCTGTGAGTTACAAAGTTTGGGGAGGTGAGGCGGTCCTGAACAAACAACTGGATCACCTAAAAGCTATTACCTCGCAAGCGGACCAGGGACAAAACATACTTGGCTCCTCAGAACAGCCAGAAGGCCTGTCAAAAACTGGAGGTTCCCTTCCCCCCACCGTTTAGTGTCAAGGAAATTTCAGAGTCTGAGATGGATGCAGCTTTGACACCATTACCGTCAGAAGAAGAGGAGAAACTGTCCCAGCTCTGGATGCAAGAGGTGGCCTACGGTCCAGTACACGTTGCCCGTGTCAGAGTCCAAATCAGAGGATCCGGAACTGGGGCAAAAGCGTTGCAGGAAAAGCTACATGTAAAAGATCAGGCCTACATCCCTGGACTTTGAGGGGGAAGGAATGTAGTGATTGGAATCAACTAGACCTTGTTGAATAGGACAGGCCTGATTGGGGTTGTTAACCTGGGCCAATCAGGAAGCCCTGGCTGACCAATATAACTAGGGGATTTAGAATCTCCTCAGTTCAGGGAGACTTACTCCGAGCTGGCTGGCCACATCTAGTGTACTGTGCATAAGTAAATAAAGAACGACTTGGTGATGGAATACCGGTCTCTGTGCAATTATTTCAATCACCCACGTATGAAGAAAGAGCAAATTTGTCAAAAGGCCTGAATTGGAAGAACACAGAGTTTGTCACGAATTGTAGGACTAGGGGAGGTTTACACAGGCACAGAGGGGTGAGACCATATATTCAACATGGGCATGAGTACTTCAAACTGAACGGGTTGGTGAAGTGGGAACCAATGTCAGTCAATGAGTGGCGATCTACTAGTTGGACAGGGTTTTTTGCATATTCAGACACACAGCACAGTTTTAGAGAATCTCAAGCTTTTATACAGGGAGGATGGGAGGTCAGAACCAGCAAATCATTTGAATATTTTACTCTGGAGGTTGACAAAGTTATGGTTAAGTGTTTCAAAGATAGATGAGTTGAGATAGAGGTAGAGATAAATAAGATCAAGGGCGTGGTATATGTGGTTCCAAGTTCAGTTCAGGGTCAAATAAGATGCTGAGGTAAGAGTCATGAGGAGGATAGAATTGGTGGCGAAGAAGCAAAGTTTGTGACAGGTCTGTAGAAAATGGCTTCGGTGTTCCCATTTGTTTAATTGGAGGAAATTCCATTCAATATTGGACGATGAGAAAGGATTAAGAGAGGTGATAATGCCATAAAGCTGAATGTTATCAGTGTAAATATGGAAAGTTGCATTTTTAAGATAATGTTGTTGTTGGATGCCTAAAAATGAGGAAGAAGAGAGACAATTTTAGATCCCTGGGGATTGCAGAAGTAGTCATGCGGAGGCAGAAAGAGAGAAAAGTTTAAAAAAGCTGTGAAATTGCAACACGATACTCAATATGTGAAAAATATGAACACCACCCAAGTGAAAGTATTTAAGGATTGGGGAACGGCGTGACAAATTATCTCAAACTGTGTCCTTGTTTCCACCTGCTAAACCTACTACATTGTCAAATTTTCGATACATTTTGTATCTACTAAACAATAAATTGAGGCAGAATACACTTGAATTAGAAATGAAACTGATGTGATGCCAAAACAACACTTATTAAAAAGGTGAAGAGAGAACAATTTAAACAAAAATTCTAAACTGGTTCTTCAAAAACAGTGCTTTAAACCATGTATTTTCATAGAATCATAGATTCCCTACAGTGCGGAAAGAGGCCATTTGGCCCATAAGTACTAACCCTCCAAAGAGTATCCCACCCAGAACCATTCCCCTACTCCATCTCTGTAACCCCACAGTTTTACCTTGTCCATCCATTCAATCTGCACACCTTTGGGCTGTGGGAGGAAACCAGAGTATTTGGCAGAAACTCATGCAGACACAGGGACAACATGCAAACTGCACAAAGACTGTCACTGAAGGCTGAAATCAAATCTGGGTCCCCGGCATTGCACCCAATGCATTGCATTGTAAAATGAAATTTCATACATTTCAGTTTCGTTGTCTTATTTCTGATCAAAAATGGTGTGGAGAATTTTGCACAAAACAGCTACAGAACATTAGTAATGTCATGTACTGCCTGAGAAGAACTAATTTGCTATTGGGAAACAGCACTTTTTTATGAACAAGGCAGGATTTTGCCACTTTTTAAAGTGTGAGGATGTACATGTAATGTGGGTGGTGAGCCCGTCACTTCCACCGCTGAGAAAACTCACCATATCACATGTCAATCAACTTATTAATGCCTACATGGCGATGGATTTCAGAGGCCATTCTGGTTGTCTCAATGGGAAACAAGTCTCTTTTCTCTTTACCTTGAAGGCTGTAATCTGGGAAATGGCAAATTTAGGCCCTTAAGGAACCATTAATTGATCACATAAGAGCCTTTATTTGAGGGCCCCCTTGTGGCACAGTGGTAGCATCCCTACTCGTGGACTGAGTGACCCAGGTTCAAGTCCCACCTGCTCTAAAGGTCTGTAGTAACGTCTCTGAGCAGGTTGGTTAGGAAAAATAGGTTAAAAAAAGAGCCTTTACCTGTGGCAGGTTGAGAAAGTTACATATGGACCTTCTTACCAGAGCTTAATGAGTGAAGAGACAACAAGGGCGATGAGTTTCTCTCCAGGACCCACTGACTGTATTATTTCCCATGTCACCCTCAGTGGGGGAAAAATCATTCTTGTGTGTTCATGGAACCATGACTTATCAAACTCATAGTGCAACAACTACAATGCTTCTTAGGGAGTGCTTTCTAACTGAAACAGTTTGTTTTAAAATATTTATAATTAAAGTAGAAGTTATTACCTCATAAAACATGGGGAGTTCGCTTGGTCTCTTCCCCTTTGGATTTCCAAGTTCAACAACCTGAAAACGTAATACAGTAGTTCAATTTTATCAGAAAAATGTGTTGTAATAAATTAGTTATTTACATTTTTTTAAGTTCTTCAATGCCAGGAGCATCCCAATGGGCTCCAGATAGCTTTCATGTCAGAAATATTCTGGGCAACAGGGAGGGCAAAGCCTAATGTTGTCAGAAGTCTGTAGCTGATAGGAAGCCAAGGATGGCAAAAGGAACATGGTTGAAAACTAACAAGTTAGCCTGCTTGGGAATGGTGGGAGAAGGAAGAGGAGCCTCTATCACTGTCCCCCTTTCCTGATTGGAAACCTGTGCCCCAGCTGCACATTCTCTGTCTCTGTCTCTCTCTCTCTCCCTCTCCATTAACGTACACCCAGCCCTCAGTTAAAAGTCCTCTCCCCTCCAGCATGGGGATGAGGATGGGAAGATGTTCCCAAAGCACCAGGTTTCATTTCCCGTCCTGCCACAAGGTGCTCAAACTTATGTTTCTCCTGTGATCCTGGCACTTAGTATCTGGGAACTGCCAATAATCCTGGGAGAAGTGGCTACCACTGGAATACATTCTATTTTCAGTGATGGGCCACAAAACACTGCTATCCTAAAAATTCTGCCCATATTTCTACTACCATGCAAAGATAATTGTCTTCATATGACATTTTTTTGTTTAATTGATTTAGTTTATATCACACATGCCACTAAGAGTTCTTTAACAGAACAGTCCATAAGACTAAATGTCCACTTATTCTGCAAGATCTCAAATCAACTATCCTAATGTTATCTTTTTCATCATCCACACCCCATATCTTCCAGTTGAACTACCAAATGGTACTAAATTGAGAAGTGTTTTATGTTCACTGGGAACCGTGTTGAAACAGCTCAACTCTATAGGAAGCATTCTTATTGTTAGCCTAGACCAGATCAGGTTACAAATCAAATGTGAAAGGACTGTTTTCTTCAGACATAAAGTCACCCATAACCTCACTGATCTACATTGTACTTTATCTGAGAGGATACATCTCCTTTACAGAGTAGAAATAATGTTGCTGGTACAGTGAAATTGCAGGAAGTCAAACTCAGAGGGCACAAAAATTGTGTTAGTTATCAGCTATTGCGACCAGCAGAATAGAAAATCCAATAGAATGATTCCTATGAGAATTTAAAATTCTGAACTGGTAATTCTGATTAGCCAAATGTATGTTATTTTGTCCAATGACTGCACTAATAATCAGAGCAAAGTTAAGTCTCACAAGAGTTCTGGGAAAGCCAACAGTTGGCAGAGATCTCTTTGTTAGTTAGTATTCGACAATTGAGTTCGTTACAAGTTATAGGTTTAGGTAAAGACCTTTTTTACAGCAAGGAAGAGAATGAGATAGCTGTTCATTCCAACATCGATGAAGCTCTGCTAATGTGATCCAAAATACTCTGAACACTGAGCATTTCCACCTCCAGTCCAATCCAGGAGGAAAGGAGATTTGCAAACACCTATAGATATTCCGGCATAATGTACTGCAGCACAAAAATACCAGTATTGATGACCACGCAGACAATATTGCACTCGAACACAAAAAGCTGAAGAAAGATCTAAATTTTTCCAGACCAACTCACAACATTTTTCATAGCGTTTTACAAGGTCAGGTCATTGTAAGGTGTGAAGAAATAGACATTGTTCACACATTTTACTGTGTTTTAATTTGGGAATTTTTCTGGCATAGATTGCATTCATAGGCGAATAGGGTTATGTAGGGGCCAACTCAGATATCTTGAAGCTGCCCTTACCAATGAATTTGTGGGTGCATCATTCAGGATTTAACTTAAGGGGACTCAACTGTACCTTTTTCTGATGCATTCTCCACTCTCCAAAGAGGGGTATTATGCCATCAAGACAATGAATCTGTTGTCAGAACTTGTTGAACTGATCATTGAAAGCTGACAAGTCAAGTATTAGTTGCTTGGATTCAGACTTGCAAACCTCTAACTTAAAACACAACACTGCTAATGTTTCTCTTCTACTGAGTTTTTCCTCATAGAAGAAATCACATAGAATCCCTACAGTGTGAAAACAGGCCCTTCGGCCCAACAAGTCCACACCGACCCTCAGAGCATCCCACCCAGACCCATCCCTATAACCCACCTAATCTGCACATCCCTGAACACTACAGGCAATTTAGCGTGGCCAATCCACCTTGCCTGCACATCTTTGGACTGTGGGAGGAAACCGGAGCACCTGGAGAAAATCCACGCAGACACAGGGAGAATGTGCAAACTCCACACAGACAGATGCCCGAGGGTGGAATTGAACCCGGGTCCTTGGTGCTGTGAGGCAGCAGTGCTAACCACTGTGCCACTGTGCCGCCCTTTTCTTTCCTTTTGTTTTTTTTTCACCTTTTGAGCAGTTAACAATACTGAATAACTATTACCATATAAATCTGTTAGTGACACATACCTGCTTCATTGTTCCTTCCCATGAAATGATACTGAAGAGTTTACGCAGTGGCACATTAATGGCTGCAGCCAGAGCATCCAAGAACAACTCATTCTCTATCTTCTCACCAACTGTAAAATAGATAGCTGGCCTCCAGTGGTCCTACAGCACCAGTAAAAGAGAGGCATTATAAGATTGAAATGTTTGAAATTATTTACTTCCAGTTTATTTTCATAAGCCTCTCCTATCTAGGCTTCTTTAAGCTGACAATAGCATTTCAGTCTATCAGTACTTTATTTAATATTAACCAAAATTCCACTCTCGCCCTTCTCCTTTCTGCCCAAAATACTACAGGATGTCTTGTCAAATGCTTTCTAATTTAATGCATTATCAATTGTCTTTTCTACAGCATCCTGTTCACTGACATCATCAAACATATATTTTCTTCTCTTTCCCAGCAATTCAAACACTCTAGGATGAAGTCCATTGGGACTTGGAGACTTATCAAGCTACAGCTCCATCAGTTTGTTCAGTATCACTTCCCTAGTGATAATAACTTCATCAAGTTCCTCCTTTCTCAACCTCCCGATTTACAGATGTTAATGGAATAATTTTTGTATCCTCATTAGTGAAGACAGAAGCAAAATATTTATTCATTATACCTCCCTTTTCTTTGTTATCTACTAACTTCCCACTCTCACCCTCAAGAGGACCAACACTCACTGTACTTATTCTTTTCCTTTTTAGATGCCTTTAGAAACTCTTGCTATTTGTTTTTAAATTTCTAGTTATCTTCCTCTCATAGTTGAATATGTTTCTCTTGGTTAACCCTTAAGTCACTCTTCGTCATTCATTGCGTTCTGACCAGTCATCTGACTTGCCACTCACCCTTATTCAGTTATATGTTCTTTTCTTAAGTTTGATGCTCTCCTAAACTTCTTCAATTAATCACAGATGACATGTCCTCCTCTTGGATATTTTCTTGAAATAAGAATATACTTATTCTAAAATATCCCTTTGAAATGTGTACTGCTGCTTCTCTCCTGACTCACCTCTGCGACTACTGTTGTGGCTCACTTCAGCTTTTGTGCCACATAGTTGCACCTTTTTTAATTTTCAAATACCAGGATTAGGCCCCACTCTTATCCCTTTGAAACCAAATGTAAAATTTAACCACATTATGATTACTACAACTTAGACGTGCCTTTATTCAGACGTCATTAATTAATTATGTCACATTGCACAACCTCACATCTGGCATTGCCTGTTGTCTGGTCAGCTCTAGAACATTTACTCTAAGAAACTAACTCAAAAGCATTTAATGAACTCCTCACCGAAGTTACCATTGCAAACTCTAATTTTCCAGTTTCCATATAGAATAAAATCACCCACAAATATTGCCATTGCTTTATCACAAGCCCCCAATATTTCCTCCTGTATACTTTTTTCTACATTATGGTTATAGTTCAGTGGCTTGTGGATCATTCCCAGAGTGATTTTTTTTCCCATATTATTGCACAACATATACCCAAATCAATCCTACATACTGATCTCCTTAACTAAGGTCATCTATAACTATTGCCCCAATAACTTTTGATAAGAACCTCTACACCTCCACTTTTACCTACCTTCTTATTCTTGTTAAATGTTATTTAACCTCAATATTCAGAAGTCAATCCTTTCCGACCTGCAGCTACGCTCAGATACAATCTTCAGTTTTATTGCTATCTTTAGGGTTATCTTTATGTTATGTACTCTTGACTGCTGATATATTCTTAGGCATTTTTTCTCTCTGTCCCTTCCTGCTATTCTCTGACCTTCGTTTTCTACATTAGTATTTTTCTCTCCTGCCTCGACTGTATCCCCTGATTTGTTACATTTACAAGAGTTTGAGCCCTCACCCACTTCTTTAGTTTAAAGACATCTTTACTTCCCTTTGATCAATGCATTCACTTCTCTAATTTTATTCATCCCATTGCCAATTTGCAAGTATCCCAGGTAGTAATCTACAGATTACTACTTTTGAGGTTCTGCTTTTCAATTCAATACTCCCTCATCAAAACGTATTTTCTAGTTCTACTTTTGTCATTGGTACTGATGTGGACCATGATTACTGGATCCTTCCTTTCCAACTACAAGTTTCTCTCCAGCCCTGAGCAGGTATCCCACACAATGACACCAAGCACAGAACTCAGCCACAAAAAAAGTGTCAGTCTTCCTCATTGTACCATCTCTACTACCATTACATACTTTGTTAATGTCCCCTCCCAAATAGCTTCCTTTGTAATGATGCCACAGCCAGTTATCACATCCATCTTGAACACCTCACTCTCATTCAAATAAGGTGAGAAAACCTCAAACCTGTTGAACAACTGCAAAAGGTTGAGGCTCCTGTGCTCCTGCTATGTCGGTCCCCTTATCCACCTCACTCGAAGGCACACCCTCTATTGTGTGTGGGAATAGGGTCGGGAATTGGTCAGTGCTGGATGGGGCTGGTCAGAAATGGGCTTGATGGGATAGTCAGATTGGGAATGGGTAGGATTGTAGTCAGTTTAGGAATTGGCAGAGGGGGGAATCACATTATGATTAGGCTACGATGGGGTCAGCATATGGCAGGGAGTGCAGGCAGGGAGCTGAGTCAGCACTGGGTCAATATGGGAATTAGGTTTGGCTTGGATCTCAGGCCAGCAGCGTATTCTGGTCAACATCAGGGTCAAAGGGGTCATTTGTCTGGGCTGGGCAATATGTTGGGTTGGGTCAAAGGCAGGGCCAGTTGATTTGTGTCAGTGGGTGGGGTAAGTTGAGTTATGTTGAAGTGTGAGACAACAAGGTGCAGGGCTGGATGAACACAGCAGGCCAAGCAGCATCATAGGAGCAGAGAGGCTGACGTTTCGGGCCTAGACCCTTCATCAGAAAAGGGGGAGGGGAAGGGGGTTTTGAAATAAATAGGGAGAGAGTGGGAGGCGGATAGAAGAGGGATAGAGGAGAGGATAGGTGGAGAGGAAACAAACAGGTCGAAGAGGCGGGGATGGAGCCAGTAAAGGTGAGTGTAGGTAGGGAGTTAGGAAGGGGATAGGTCAGTCCAGGGAGGACGGACAGGTCAAGGGGGCAGGATGAGGTTGGTCGGTAGGAGATGGAGGTGCGGCTTGAGGTGGGAGGAGGGGATAGGTGGGAGGAAGAACAGGTTAGGGAGGCAGGGACGAGCTGGACTGGTTTTGGGATGCGGTAGGGGGAGGGGAGATTTTGAAACTTGTGAAATCCACATTGATACCATTGGGCTGCAGGGTTCCCAAGCGGAATATGAGTTGCTGTTCCTGCAACCTTCGGGTGGCATCGTTGTGGCACTGCAGGAGGCCCAGGATGGACATGTCGTCTGAGGAATGGGAGGGGGAGTTGAAATGGTTCGCGACTGGGAGGTGCAGTTGTTTGTTGCGAACCGAGCGTAAGTGTTCTGCAAAGCGGTCCCCGAGTCTCCGCTTGGTTTCCCCGATGTAGAGGAAGCCACACCGGGTACAGCGGATGCAGTATACCACATTGGCAGATGTGCAGGTGAACATCTGCTTGATGTGGAAAGTCTTCTTGGGGCCTGGGATGGGGGTGAGGGAGGAGGTGTGGGGGCAGGTGTAGCACTTCCTGCGGTTGCAGGGAAAAGTGCCGGGTGTGGTGGAGCTGGAGGGGAGTGTGGAGCGGACAAGGGAGTCACGGAGAGAGTTGTCCCTCCGGAAAGCAGATAAGGGTGGGGAGGGAAAGATGTCTTTGGTGGTGGGGTCGGATTGCAGATGGCGGAAGTGTCGGAGGATGATGCGTTGGATCCGGAGGTTGGTGGGGTGGTACGTGAGGACGAGGGGGATTCTTTTTTGGTTTTTATTGCGTGGACGGGGTGTGAGGGATGAGGTGCGGGAGATGTGGGAGACACGGTTGAGGGCGTTCTCGACCACCGAGGAGGGGAAGTTACGGTCCTTGAAAAACGAGGACAACTGAGATGTACGGGAGTGGAATGCCTCATCCTGGGAGCAGATGCGGCGGAGGCGAAGGAATTGGGAATAGGGGATAGCATTTTTGCAGGAAGGTGGGTGGGAGGAGGAGTATTCTAGGTAGCTGTGGGAGTCGGTGGGCTTGAAATGAATATCGGTTTCGAGGTGGTTGCCCGATATGGAGACAGAGAGGTCCAGGAAGGGGAGAGAGGTGTTAGAGATGGTCCAGGTAAACTTAAGGTTGGGGTGGAAGGTGTTAGTGAAGTGTATGAACTGTTCGAGCTCCTCGTGGTTATTGGAATTGTCAATACAGTGTGGAGATGGAGGAACACAGCAGATCGGGTAGCATCAGAGGAGCAGGAAAGTCGATGTTTCAGGTTTACACTCTTCATCAGCGAGGGTGTAAACCTGAAACTTCAACTTTCCTGCTCCTCTGATGCTGCCTGACCTGCTGTGTTCCTCCAGCTCCACACTGTACTGACTCTGTTCCAGCATTTGCAGTTCTTGCTATCTCTCGTTATTAGAGTGGATTGGGTTGAGGTGGGGAGGCAGCTGAGTTGTGATAATGGATTGGGGGAGTTGAGTTGTGTTGAGCAGTGGAAAGAAGTTGAATCGTGACAAGGGATTGGGGGAGCTGAATTGTGTCGAGGGATGGGGGAAGAGTTGAGTTAGGTCAAGGGGTGGGGAAGTGAAGGTGAGTCGAGGTTGGAGTAAGTTAAGTTGGGTCGACAGGAGGTTGAATTGAGTTGGGTCGAGGATAGGGTGAGTTGAGTTGGGTCAAGGGGTAGGATGAGTTGAGTTGGGTCTACGATATAGTGGGTTGGGTCAGGTCGATGGTGGAGAGGAATCTGGCAGCGTCAAGGGTTGGAGGTACTTGGGTTAGCTTGAAGGGCAAGGGGGTTTATGTTCGGTCAAGGGATGGGGGTTGCTGTGGCAGTTTCAATTTATCTTATTTGAGTCTGCACATTATAATTCTCAGTATATTGATTGTGTTATATCAGACTTCCACTGTATTTGAAGTTAAAGATTTGACACCTCAATGAATGTGGTCAGAATCATGCTCGTAATTTATAATTGACAATGGGATAATCACTGTCTATATCTCTACGGGTTTTAGCTCCGAAATCACCTCAAAACAGAACTTTTGATCATGTCACTACATGCAACATTTCAATTAAAAAAACACTTAAAGGAAGCAAAAAGGTACATGTAGAAATCATTATTATCTGCAAGATAAAAAGGAAGTACTGAAGACAAGGTTAATTCCTTAATCCACAGAACATGATGCAATGAAATTGTACAAGTGTCAATATGCATTATTATAAAAATTAGAATGTGAGCTGTAGCATAGGGTGCCTTCACCTTTTTGTTTGCTCTATTTAAATTCTCTGTAATCTAGAATTCAATGCAGATAAATTAAAAGGTTTTGGACATGGGAAAAAGAAACATGATTATCTACAACTATTGTTGCTTGCCTGCAGTACGTATACAGCACATAGCGTCAAAGTGTCATATGTGATGTTATCCTAACAATAAAGTCTTAACATTGAGCTCACCTCTTCAATCGGAGCTGCCAGCAGCGCTGGCTCCCAGGCTTTGGTGATTGCGCGTGGTTCCTTAGCTGGTTTAGATTCTTTTGCTTTCTTTGAAGGCATATTTTACTCTTTCAGCTTGTCTTGGTGAATTACCTTTCTGCCCACTGACATAATCTAAAATTAAAAAGTGTATTTTTAAACAAAATCTATTGGGATATGAAACAGCACAAATGCCATGATACTACCGTTTTAAAAATTTTCAAAGTCCATGCAGAGGCTCTGAGGTTTGCCTGTTAAAAATGTTTTACTCGTTGGATTCTGAGATTTCAGGCTGAAGGAGCACATTTTTCTCAGGTTCATGTATGGTTTATAACTATGATGGATTCAATGATAAGAAGTAAAGGCAGTATTTCATAAAGAGGTTTATTTTTAGAGAGCAAAATGGAGTGCTGATTCTCAGTTATGGGAGCTATTGAGCCTAACAACATGCAAACACAAAATCATCAATAGGTTTACAACTTCATTTATTCTAATTTTAATACATTCATTAAGATTTGACTAACTCCCTCAACATACTGATCGACCAAAAGTATTTTGTGAAGCAAACAGAAATGAATGAAACAATAAGCCAAATTCTTACTAACCTTAGAAAAAACAATACTTAATGCTGAATATTCTTCAGGAGCTGAACATGAAAAATGTTTTTTGCTGTTTATTTATGCCTTGAATAGCCTGATTCAGGAATTAATGTGCTCTGCCATTAGGTGGCACTGCAAACTAACTTGACTGTGTCCATAATTCAATACAAAACAGTAGCTTTGCATCAACACTCCCAGGGCCAGGGAAGATGGTAGAATCAGATCTGTTAACAAAGTTTAAGAGGCATTTAGATAGACACATGAACAGATAGGGAATAGAGGGATATGGGCCATGTGCAGGCAAATGGGATTTGTTTAGATTGGCATCATAGTCGGCACAGTGTTGTGCTGTATAGTTCGGTGTAATAGAGACCCTCATATTTACCTCCTGTCATCGCTGCTGGCAGGGAATCGCAGAACAAAAACAGGTAGCAAGGACCGTTTCTCACAATTTTTCTCTCCCACCTGCAGCAGTTGCTGTGTGGTGCTAAAATATAAGGAGCGAAAGTACAGGAAAATCTGTTCTGCTTCAGGTAACAATCATACTTTTGTATTTTGTATAACCCTGCATTTTCCATGGCTAACCCACCCAGCCTGCACCTCCTTGAACAATATGGACAATTTAGCATGGCCAATCCCCTTAACCTGCACATCTTTGGACTGTGGGAGGAAACCCACGCTGACACAGGGAGAATGTGCAAACTCTACACAGACAGTCACCCGAGTATGGAATTGAACCCAGGTCCCTGGTGAGGCAGCCATGCTAACCACTGAGCCATCATGCCACCCCCTTTCTTTTCTTTGTTTTCTTTTACCCAGACCCACTTCCCTACCCTATCCATGTAACCCTGCATGTCCCATGGTTGATCCACCCAACCTACACATCCCTGGACACCAGAAGGCATATTTTTAATGTGAGAGGAGAAAGATTTAAAAGGGACCTGAGAGGAAACTTTTTCACATAGGGTGATTTGTATGTGGAATGAACTGCCAGAGGAAGTGGTAGATGCAGGTACAATTACAACATTTAAAAGACATTTGGATAGGTATATGAATAGGAATGGTTTAGACAGATATTGCCAAATGCAGGCAATTGGGATTAGTTTAGTTTGGGAAACTTGGTCAGCATGGATGAGTTGGACCAAATGGTCTGCTTTCATGCTGTATGACTCTATGACTGTCATAAAAAAAAGCATCTTTTAAAAGGTACGAAACTTTTAAGTATTGACGTTCATGTGGACTTGGGCCTACACTTGTCCAAGAAACACGGAAAATTATCTTGTAGATTCAGCAAGCAATGAGGAAAGCAAATAATATGTTGTGTTTTTTTGTGTCCTGAGTTTGAGTATAAAAATCACAATTACTTTCCTACAATCACATGGGGCTTTGGTGAGATCACAGATGGCGTACTGTGTACAGTTTTGGTCTCCATATTTAAGGAACAATATACTGCCCTTGTATGTACAGTGAAAGTTCGTTAGACTGGCTCCTGTGAAAGTGAATGTTGTCTTATTATGAGAAGCAACATTAATTTGGTCTACATTCTCTGGAATTCAGAAGAATAAAAGGTAATTTCATTGAAATATGCAAAATTCCAAGTGATCTTGACAAAGCAAATAACTGAGATTTTGTTTCTTTTGACTGGTGAATTGAGAAATGGGGCACAGGCTCAGGACAAAAGGCTGATGATTTAAACTGAGATGAGAAGTTTCTTCACTCAGTGGATCATGGATCTTTGGAATTGTCTGCTGCAGAGGGTGTGGATGCTCTATCAGTGAATATAATCAAGATTGAGATTGAAAGATCTTTGAACTATCAAGAATTAAGGGATATAGGAAGCAAATGGGGATGTGTAATTTATAAAGACCAGTCGTGATTGTAGTGAATGGTGGAGCAGACTTGATGGTCTGAGTGGTCTGTTCTCACTTCTTACATCCTGATTACTCCCTCCACAGGCCAGCCCACCATTTCAGTCTCAACCCTGCAACCTTACCATCCCCTCCCCTCTCCCTCGCTGACCCCAATTCTCTTCTCTCCCTCATTCCTCTACCTCCCACCAACCCCTCCCTTCTCATACCACCCCAGACCCTCTCCTGTCCCTTGCCCCACTCAGTCTCTTCCCCACTCTCAGATGGCCTTCTTGTACCCCCCTCCCTCTCACTCTCCCTCATTCGCTCCTCTCCATCCTGTTTCTCCCTTGCTCTCAGTCTGTCTCAGTCTCAGTCTCTCTCTCCTTCTCTCTCCCTCCTCCTCTTCCCTCAGTCTCCCTCTCTCTCTCCATCCCTCTCCCTCTCTCTTCCTCCATCCCCATCCCTCTCTCTCTCCCCCATCCCCATCACTCTCCCTCTCCCTCTCTCTCTCTCCCTCCATCCCCATCCCCATCCCTCTCCCTCTCTCTCCCTCCATCTCCATCCCCATCCCCATCCCTCTCCCTCTCTCTCTCTCCCTCCATCCCCCTCCCTCTCCCCCTCCCTCTCTCTCCCCCCATCCCCCTCCCTCCCTCTCCCTCCCTCCATCTCCATCCCCATCCCCATCCCTATCCCTCTCTCTCTCCCTCCATCTCCCACTGTCCCTACCGGCTCTCGGCTTCTCTTCAGTCTTGCAGTTTCACTGTTTTCTGTTCCCCTGGTAACCATCATAGCAACCACCTCTCCGTCCCCGAGTGTCAAGGAGACGCTCGGTATGAAGATGGACAGAAAGGGACGGGTCCCCGTCAGCCTCCTGCAGCAGTGCCACCCGGCGGTTTCTCGTTTTGTGCCAGTTTGTCCCGTTCCTGAACCGCACCACCCAGCGGTGAACGCCATGTATTACAGCTGAGGGGAAAGCTGCCTGCACGCTATTAATACGTACAGTATGTTCCACGTCTGCCAACACTGTTAGATTCTCTGGCCATATTTCTGGTTTCTCCCAGCAATTAAATTAATAAATGCCTGATACATATTTGATCTTTTTTTTAAAATGTTATTCATATTTGTGCCTGCAGTTGGAAACTTGCTGTCAACCATACCTCACCATATCAATACTGTTAAAGCTGTTGGGTGTGTGGGCTACCTGTACAAACTTATGAAAGGCAGGGTCGCTCTCAAACTCAGTAAATAAGGCAACAGAAGTAGTTCAACAACTTGCATTTTTTACATTATAGTTGGGATCTCACTCTGACATTTTTTTCATTGGCTGCAAAACATTTAACATCATGAAGAACATTCTGTGAATGTCAGAGATATGAAGAGAAGTGACGAAGTTTGATAAACTAAAAGTCAGCTTCATGTGGAGATCTAGAGAATTGAAGAGGAAATTCTAAATGTTTCACGACCAGGTATAGAGCGAAAATCAGAGACATACAAAAGACCAGAACCACAGGAACAGAAAACTTGAAGGATTGTAGGATATTGGATTGTTGGACAGATACATTTGTACCCTCAGTGTACAAGGGATCCCCAATTTACAACAGTCAGATTTACTAAAGATCCAACATGCAAATGTTTTTTCTGTACTTGTGAACTATTTTATATTGTCCTGCATTGTGCTCTGACTTGCATACAAATTGATTTGTAAACAAACTCAAGAACAGAATCCATTTGCAATCCAGGGACTGCCTGTACTTGTTGGCTTGCTGTAGTCATGTGACTTCTACATTTGCTGTAAGTGCAGTTTGTTGCAGTTATTAAACACATATCATTTGTAACACGGTGTCAGATCAATGCGGCTGAAAACATGTGGATTTCAGCACGCTGCTGTGGAAAAAGGCATCAAGCAATGTGTGGGATTTTCAGAGCAGCAAGAAAGCCAGCTACTGAAAGGGACAACAAGGAAGAAGGAAAAAAAAAGCCTGCAGCTTTGAAATACAGGCTGAGTCAAAATAACTATACACCTCCCACTCCCTGCTGCTATGAAAATGAAATGAGATATGAGACAAAATTGGATTATTTTCAAACTCTGGTATAACTATGTAATTACAACAAAATTAGTTAAGAATCCTGAGTAAGGATGGCAATCTGCTTTCAGGGCTGAGGAAAGAGTGCTATGTGCTGTATTGCAGGCTAGATCTCATTAAGGAGCAGAAAAGCCAGACAGGAGGGATTTTGAAGGCTTTGAAGACATCTTTGAACCCCATATTAATGTTACATGTTTATTTAATAACAGAGCATAAGGGGAGAGGGAGAATATTGATCAATAAGTGACTGCACCAATATATCTAACTGAATCCTGTGAGTTTGAACAACTGAATACTGTTCTCATTAGAAATAGGATTATCTTAGGTATAAGTGATCCTGCTGTGAGAACATGTCTGCTGAATGAAGATAACCCTTACTCTCAAGAAAGCTATAAGTAAGTGCAGAAATTCCAAAGTTGTTAATCATCAGCTACAGCCTATTAATGGGAGAACAGATAAGCTTTTCATTTTACTGAGACACATTCAAGAAAAAATGAAAATAACAGATTGGGAACAAGGAAGAATTATTGGCAGAAAAGTAAGTGGAAAGATCAAGGCTAGAGAGTAGGATATAATTTTAAAAAAGACATCTTATAAAAGAAAATGCAACATGTCCATCATGAGAAAATAGTTCTCTAACTGAAAGAGGTTGAACAGCTTTGCAGGCAAACAATTATCTGGAAAGAAGCAAAACAAGGTTAAAAAGATGGCTTCTGGAGAGATGTAGCCAGTGATTCAGACAAATCACTCTGCAATGTGCAACAAGTTGGTGTCATCAGTTTTAAAAGTGATAAATGGTTTATGTGTTGGATGCTGACTGATGAATAATGGTTGTAGAAGGAGAGCATCAAATCAAGGCAGTTCAGAGAAGGTTTACTAAGATGATCCCTGGTATGGAGGGATTGTCTTATGAGCAAAGGTTAAACAGGGTGGGACTGTACTCGTTGAAGTTTAGAAGAATGAGAGTTGATTTCAATGAAACATATAGGATTCTTAAGGGGCTCGCCAGGTTAAAAGTTCATGGGAGAATCTGGGACCAGAGGGTGCAGTCTCAAAAGAAAAGGGCACGAATTTAAGACTGAGATGAGGAGGAATTTCTTCCCTCAGAAGGTTATAAGTCTTTGGAGCTCCTTGCTACAGGGAGTTGTGGGGACACAGTCCTTGTGTACATTTAACGCTGAGATAGATAGATTCTTGACCAGTAGGGGAATCAAGCATCATTGGGAAAAGGCAAAAAAGTGGACTTGAGGAACATTGGATCAACCATGATCCTACTGAATGGCAGAGCATGATTGAGCCTACTCCTATTCCTATTTGTTAAGGTCTTATGGTATGTGAAGTGTCAGATAAGTACCAGTGGTTCATGCAACATCATGAAACAATGCTCTGCTTCACAGATCTGTGTGAAGTCACTTAAAGTGGCGATGCAAAAATGAAGCCCTCAAAGATAAGGTTGAGGTTATATGATGAAAAAATAATCATCCTATGAGGACAAACAAAGCTGACAGTCTAAGGCAATGGGAAGAATGAAGATTTGGAGCTCCAAATAAGCAAAATCCACTCATCTTAGCTAAAGCAAGTCTATAACTCGGGCTAGTAATCCTAAACATGCTAGCAGAGATTTGCAGTATTTTGTTGTTTACTCAGCCATTGGTTGCTGAACAGATCCACAAAGATGTTTTTACAGGTCTTAGATATCTTCCTGGTGTTTATTGTCTCAAAGTGAATGAGTGTGTGAGACCAATAAAGGATTTGCTGAGGGCTAAATGGATCAAGGGGTATGGAGAGAAAGCAGCAGTGGGATGCTGAAATTCCATGATCAGCCATGATCATATTGAATAGTAGTGCAGCCTCAAAGGGCTGAATGGCCAAATGGCCTACTCCTGCACCTACCTTCTATGTTTCAATGTTTCTACGTGAGATCAAGCTACCCTCAAGTCCAGACTGTAAGACAGAGTAGAAGAGTTAGGAAAGAAGTGTATAATCAAGAAAGTGACCATTTCTATAGACTGGACTAGTAGCACAGCAGCAGTGGGAAAAAAAAGCCCTGGAAAACTGAGAGTAACTATGGATCAAAATGACCTGAACAAAGCTGTGGTAGAGATCTCACTACCCCATGCCAATCATTGAAGAAATTTTGCCAAAGTTCTGTATTACCCTCGATGAGAAGAATGATTACTGGCAAGTGAAGTTAGATGAATGCAGTCACTTTCTAACTACATTCTGGATGCCATTCAGGAGATACAGATAGTTGAAAATGCTATTTATTATTTCCACTTCTCCAGAAGAATATCAATGCAGACAGGACAAGATAGCCAGTGATCTTTGTGGAATGGAAGTTATTGCGACTGATCTGTTAGTCTACAGTTGTGACGAAACAATGAAGAACCCATCACAGACAATCATCAGAATTTGGTGTGAATGCTAAAAGAAGCTGGCCAGATGAACCTGAAGTTGAACAAGTAAATATTGAAGTCAAATACATATGTTATGTACCAACAGTAAAAATACTTTGGTCTGATCCTACTAAGGTGAGAGCTCTAGCAGAGGTGCAGCAACTAACAGATGGGGATCTGTGATCTGTGTACCAAAGTTCTTGCCTAATTTATCATCAGAGTGTGAACCTGTATGCAAGCTCACTGCTAAGCATGTGCAGTGGTATTATGGTACTGAACAAGAAGCAACTTACAAGAGAATCAAACAATTAGTGATGACAACTCTAGCACTTAATATCAATGATGAAATAACCTTGTAGCGTGATGCAAGTGAGACAGGACTTTGAGCAACCCAATGCAGCAAGGGCAACTAATCGCATTTGCATTCAGGGTGCTAACTCAGATAGGAATGCACTCAGAGAGAGAATAATTGACTGGTAATTGTGTTTAATCATGAGAGTTTTAATCGATGCTTATTTTTGAGTGACGAAGTGATGCTGGAGTCTAATCAGAAGCTACTTCAAAGCCTATTGCTTAAACTGCTTCAATTTCCTCCAAAGCAACAGTAAAGCATTAAACTTTGTTTACAGAGATATCATCTGGATGTGGCATACAAGCAAAGGAAATAAATGTGCATTGCTAGAATGCTGTTGAGAGCAGCACTCTCTGTGAAGGAAGATAAAAATGCTAAAACGTGTGTGCATGATTTCAGACTCAATGAAAAGCAACAACTCGACATACTTTGGAAGTCATCAATCCAGCGGAGATATTGAAACTGAAAGAAAAGTGTCTTAATCAACACAACCAAACTTCACATTAAGATGCAATGTGGTATTAGACCCATCTGAAACCAGTTGGATCCTCTTAAAATATGCATATCAGGGTTTAACTACATTGTCAGAAATCAACTACAGTTCTAACTTTCATCTGTGAGAATAAGCTGTTGGCTTTCCTGCTACCTGAAGATAGTAGATTGTTTTCTGCCAAATCTGCTCCACAAAAAAATAGTTAGTTTTCCATTGCTCCACTTTCTGCTATCTGGGATTATGTTCACAGTAGGACAGATGGTTCTTGCAGCCTGCTGATTAGCTGCAAACACACTGCATTCAGGTTTTAAAATTGTCCAAGTCTGGACTTTGATTCGGGTTGGAGTGGTGCAGGGGTTTAAGATTGGCCCATGCCATGTTACTTGCCGACCTGAATCCATTTCCAGGATAAATATGGACCTTTTATGCCAGATTGCTTTCCTCCATCAACCCCATTAACACGCAGATAATTGTTGTATACTCCAAATGGCTTTTGGAGGTAGCT